CCCGCACCCTGACAATCTAGGTTTTGTAGTTTATATATTTAGAGGTAGTAATACGGAGAATTTAAATAGGACCGAGTATAGAGTAAATTATAGAAGCACTAAATGGTTAGGGCGGTTAAGGGGCTCTGTTTCTTTACGACGGTGATACCACGAGAAACAACACTTGGGTTGAGAGATAGGTGCTCGGGTAGTCTTCACTTCCAGGATTAACCCCTGTAATAGTAGTGAAATCGCCGTGACATTCGTGCTCTACTATACTAAGTTAGTAACCTTTCTTGAAAATCCCTAGAGAAAAATTTCTGAATTTTATTATTAGCACCGTTTGATATCACCTGCTACCTACAGGAGAAATGCAGGCTCCTCTGAGATGAAGGCCACGTGTGGCCAATCATTGAGAGCCAGGGACACACACCTACAAGCCATCAGCATCAAAAGTACCAGTACAGCCGATGTGTGATTTATTGTTGGGAAAACGTAACGGGGAAAGAGGTGAGAACCCCGGTACTGCCGAGTCATGTAGGGGAGATTTGAAAGTCTTGTTCTCCGGTTGCACTTCTCCACACAACAGAGAAGGGTTGAATTTCGTCTGAATACCAGCGGATTGAAGTTGCAAAAGATAGGAAGAATGGTGCGACACTGAATGCAGGTGCAAATGTAGCTACACGCCTAGAACCCATCAGACAAAGAACACAAATCCGCTACGGAGACATCTACTCCGCATGTGCGCACAGGGTCCATCCACATGACGCTCTCTGTCTCAGCCCATCTTGTATCCATCACCTGTCTAGTAATTTAGTTCCGCGACCTAGCCCCAATGAAGCGATAGATGTCTTAATTGGCATAAGCAATGAGGTCGATAGTGGCCGCCAGCAACCTTCTAGGATCTCGGCCATCGAAGCTCGCTTCTGTTAAAAAAAAAACCGTCCACCAGCAGGCTATTTATGCGCGCAACTAGGCTCGGATTGCGCACCATGTAAGACATTATTTCAACAGGGTCTCGGCCGATCGGGTAAAACCCCAGTCCAGCTGATATCACGAACGAAACAAATTTGGCATATGTTGCCAACCGGGTATCCATCGGCTATTTAAATCTGCTACTGAGTCGCAATCCAACTCGCATGTCCACACGACCATCTTCGCCAAAGAAATCTCAGGTAAGGGTGCAGTGGGACATTGTGGCGCATGGAGGAAAGGGTACTCCTTGACCTATCTTATTAATCTTAACGAGCCTCGTATGTTCGCAAAGGACTATCGTTATCAGGGGAAGTAGAGAATTGTCTCGAATTGGCCATATTGGCGTCCGTTTCTGCGTGTCGTTTCCCTCTCACTAAGCAGGATCTCTATAGTCAAAAACAGCGGGCGGGGGAATTGACGAGCAAGACTAGAAGATGGTAAAAAGGGTCATTGCTACCGTTGACACTTCAAGACGGCTAAGAAGAGACATCCTTGTGTTAAAGGTGTAGGAATACATCGGGCAGTGTTTATCTATGTACCTCGGAAGCCTCTGACGAGTTACCTAGATAGAACGATCGAAGTTCCTAAAGAAGGATTAGACCTTTAGGGGTCCTTTTTTTGAACAAAACCTTGACCTTGAACCCTTGGAAATTCTACTGTATAAATAGTACTAAGCTTCTCAGTTTGGTAATGCAAGACCTCAACCTATATTTCGTTGTTCATGTTCATGTCCTCTACGTTGCTAGTGTTGCCATCTGCTCATCGGTATTTGGACGAGTCATGGGCCCTTCTTGTTCAATTTAGACGTTTACAGTATGTGGATCATCAGCTGGTATTTGATCTTGAGGTTGCAGGGGTTGACCCATCTATATGGCGTATGTGTGTATGTGGAAAGCGACAAGAAGTGGAGTGGTGCAGAGTGAGAGGTTGGGAAAATGTGCATTCAGATCAAAAATGGGTCTACTGGTGCGAGATGGGAATCTATCAATTTCTTCGTTACTACCTCTGTAGCAATGCATGGGTTGAAGGCCAGACGATGTCTGACTAGGAATAATTTTGAAAGGGGGTCTGAAGAGCAACGGGAAAAAATTGCTGAAAGAGATTCAAGATTGTTGGCATCGCTTTTGAGACATTAGGATACAGAGTGGTCATTCAAAAAAAGGGCACCAGAGCTTTGAAATCTCAGGCGGCATCACAACAAAGCTGTCTATGATGAGAAAGTGTGCAAATAGGGTATTGAGAAAGTTACCGTAGGTTCAAAACCTGCGGCCCTGGAATCAACAGCAGCACCTCGCACGGCACCTAATTGCACATCGGGGCAACAAAGGCTGCCAATGAGATTGGCTGGTGTTCAGTAGTGCTTCAGTCAGAAGAAGACAGGTGTGCCCGTATCAAGGCTTTGCCTAACGAGGAAGGTGAAAAAGCCAACAAAACGGTTCGTAGTTGAGCGGGAAAACTTCCTGGGTGGACAAGACTGTACGGCGTCACGAAAGTAGCATCAAGGGCATGGCACAAGAAAAGGCCATAACTGGCAAGACATGTTACATCTTGCGGAAAGTGTTTCCAGAAGCACTGCGGCGTTCCTTGGCCCGGAACGATGTGTCGGTCTTGTCGTAGCGCACTTCGGGGGCAGCACGCTTCGGCTTCCCGGCCGGGTTGAAGCTCATCTCTTGCTCGCCGACGACACCAACTCGTCGTGCAGGCTTTTGTCTCGACTTCATATTCTGCGCGCGGGAGCCGAAGGAGCGGTCTCGGGTGGAGTTGGCTTGATTCGAAGACGATACTTGCATCCGAGGCGGAGGGCGCTTCGTCCGCTTGTAGTCTGCAGAAGAGATCTTTTTGGAAGTCACTGTCTTGGTAGGCTTTTCCGTCTCGCTGTCGGAATCGGAATCGGAGCTTGAACCGGGCACGTCGTCGATGGCTTCTTGCTCGACTGCCGTCAAGCCACGCTCCTTTCTCGAAGCAGATGGGGCAGCAGCCTGGGGAACCGTACTGGGATTCAGCAACTGGAATTCGCGTGAAGTCTCGTCGACAGCAAAGTCTTGGTCCTCGAACAGCTGGGCGAAACGGCCACCGCCCAATACATTCTTGTCCACGGCTGCGGAAGAAGTGGCATCGACCATTTCCTGGTCGCCCGAGCCTTCCAATAGGCGTTTGGCATGCTTGCGCTCTCTCTTCTCCTCCGCGTTCAGCATCCTTTCGGCCAGTCTCCTGTTCACCTTGACGGCAACCTTCTTCTTGCCGCGGATGCGGCTTTCCCGCTCCTTGTTCATAATTTCTGCCACCTTCTTCGCTCTGGGGTTTTCTGTGTCGGGGAACAACCCAGTTATAGAGTTATAAACAAAGTTCGATACTTGGTAACCCTTCGAGTAAGGTACCATCTTTCCTGACTGCATGTAGGACGCCAAATCAATGGGTTCTCCGCCTGCCTTGATAAGCTTGGCATCCCATTTAGCGACCTCCTCACTGGGCACAAGCGTGAATCCGGGCCAGACGGAACTAGACTGGGCAGACTTGAACGCACTGGGGTCGTTTGGATCCTCAGCCATCTCTTCAACCAGATTGTCCAAGAATGAGCACCACCTCGGCGCGGGGCCAAGCTGCGGAATGAAAAATGAGTGTTGCTGTCGGCCTTCATTGGCTGTGAGGAGCATGCCGCTATCCTTGCACCAAGCGACCGAGTTGAGATCCACCGCCGGTTCAACAGAGGTCCAAGGCTTTTGATCTTCGATATCCCAGAGCTTGATGATACGCTTATCGGCCGAGAGCAACTTGGGTTCGATTGTCGCAGCTTGTGTTGCAGACGACTGTTCGAGGAATTGGAGAGTGTGAATAGGGAACCCGTATCCTTGATCCTTGATCTGGAAGGGAACGGGGGAACGCAAGTCATAGAGGTGAATGAGACCATTAGATGAGCCGGTTCCGAGGCTCATGCCGGAGCGATTGAATTCTAGAGCTGTGATCTCTGAGCGCTCATCATAAAGTCCAACTTGGGTGGGTGTAGACAGCACCCCAGCGCGTCCCTTAGCCCTAGGGTCCCACAGCTCAACTGTCCCCAATGAAGTTCCGAATGCCAACAAATTGTGACTCTGTTCCGCAATAGCACCGGTGTTAACAGAGCCTGTGTTGATTCCACCTTGGAGAGTTCCACCACCCGTGGATGTAAAATCGTCACCTCCGACATCAACCTCAAAACTCCGCATGTATCGACCTAGCTCCAAGTTCAATCGGTATACCTCTCCCATGCCATCCTGATTAACACCAACTGCAGGAATAAGCACTTCAGTCGACTGGCGGTCGTAGACAATGTCACGTCCATATCTGGGAAGTCTGGTGGTGTAGTGACAGCCCGAGGGAGTGTGGAACTCGAGAGATCGATCAGACTGGAGGTGGAGGGACTTGGTATAATCGGAAGACAGTAGGATGAATGTGGTGTTGAGCGAACTGGTATGGCGCGCCCATGAAAGGGACAATTGTGGAAGATAATGAGTATGAATTTGTGGCTTGTAAGTTCCTGCAAGCAATATTGTTAGGGCATGCGCTTTCAAGAAAAGATGAGGATCACTAGTACGAACCTGTGCTCATAACCCATTCTCCATCCTCACTGACCCGAACACAGTGACTCGCTTCCTCAAATTCAAAGTCTTGCAGTAGTTCAACTCGATTGGCATACTCGGGATCATTTTTCAAGCTGCGCTTTCGCCGTCTAGCAAGCCATTCGGGAAGCGGGCGAGCACTGTCTGAGCCCGAGATGGTATATACCGGGACTTCAGACGGATTGGACAGCTTCATGCTGGTATATTCTGGCGTTAACAAGGCGAAGCCAGTTGTTTTGAGGTAGTCTGCAACTTGTTTGCAACTTATCAGTGTCGGCGAAAGCAAACCTGCAAAAGATTAAAAAAAAAATTGCGATAAAAAGCTGCTGATAGCGATCACGTGACAACTGGGCCTGGTGATTGGCCCAAGTGTCCCTGGCAAACGTCCCCCGGAATTACGCATTTCAACTTTCTGTTGACTTCATGCAATAAGCCTTGTGGTTAAACTCATTACTGTTTCATTTGGTGCGCTGATTTCATTTAAGTGAGAGTGTTGTGCCAGACCTTCTAGTCTTTGTTGATCACTTCCGCCCATCATGGTATCAATCAGCTAATGTATTCGCTGCTTGTTGATCTCTCTGCTATGCGCTATCACTCCTTGTCACAGACCATGCAACCTATGATTGGAAATGACTTTCAGAGTCATCTTCAAAATTTCTTCTATATTTAAAGGCTCCCGGGGCTGTCCGCGACCGTTGAATTATGGACTTCCCTGGCGGCGCAAACACCAACATACATCTTATTGTGAGTTATCGTAATATTTTGAAGTGCATTCGCGTCTATACTGACGCATCATATCAGGATGGATTCACCAATATTTACTGGAGAATCTACACAGAAGAAGCTAGTATCGCAAACAATCCACAGGAAAGCCCCGCCAATGGCTACACCATTCTCAAGCACTTGAGTCGTCTCAAAGATTTAGAGGCTCGATTGAGAGGTTTAAATTGTCTGGCATCATGTCCGAGGCGTCTAGGGCTTTGGGTGTTCTCCCCTACCCCTGAGTTCGAAAGCCTGAATGCTCTGTATGTGAGGGAAAGTGACCCAGAGTCAAGTAGGATTGTCGTCGGCACAACAACTTTGAAAGGTATGTCTATGGCCGGCTCATATAGTTATTTTGGACCTGGTTAATCCTATTATTATAGTGTCTGCTTTAGGAAGTGTCTCCTCACTGGACTTGGTGAAAGGGCTGTCGTCCGACACCCAGAGTCAGCACGGTACCCAACCCGCTGGGCAGCAACGGCCACATCAGAGCCAACTGCCATCTCGCCGTCAAGATGGCTATAGCAGTTCAGCGGCCATTTATGCATCATTTATATCTGCTGTTGCTGGTTCAATCAGCCTCCAGATTATTCGACGCCATGCTGCTCTACCCCTTGGATCACGCACCCTTTTCACTGCCATCGAAAAGTCGGGATACGAAAGTCCCCAAATCAACAATGAAAGCATCCTCTCCACTTCTTGCTTGACCACACTCAATATCCAGTTAACTATGAGCGGAACAATAACCGTTTCCGCCCAGACTGTACCTCAAACGGGTATAATTCGACTGTGCAGTCCATGCGAAGACACTGCCGAAATAATTGACGCGCAGCCTGGGACTGATCTTTGGCTTTGTCCGAATGGGACTATCGCTAGGCTTGTCACGGCTGATGTTGACTCGTCAAATGTTCTTTCTTTGGGCTACCCAGCCCCTGGGAATCTGTCTGCAAAAAGAATACAGTGGAAATTAGATGTTGTGCAGTGGCTGCGGAATTTTGGGTTGAATGTTGACTCAATTGATGAAGAACACTGGGTTGAAGTGGAGGTCTGGGAGCCTTTTTTCGCGAGGCTTGCTGGGGAAGCATGGCGACAGAGTGATGACAGTCAATCCGCATTGCCGCTGAAGCGCATGCTATGGCCAGCTCGATTTTGCTTCAGAAGGGCTAGCTCATCAAATCTCTCTTCCGAGGCTCAACCTTCCCTTCTTGACGAACCCCTAGATTTTGCAGAGCGATGGTCTGCAATGGCGAGCTCTCTCAAGCTAGATCAAATTGCCCACACTGCTCAAAACACCTCTATCACTCAAGACCCACAATCAAAAGACCAAGAAATGCTGTCACCCAAGGCCGAACCTCTCGATAGCATAGAGAGTTTGTCACGAATTGCGCAATATCCTGATTTGCAAAGCACAAATCTTGTTTACCCGACTCCCCCAGATGGAGCTGCTGTAGTCGGATTGAACAATTCAAATCCCCCCGAGGCTTTCACCGACGATTCTGACTTTGGACCACCCCATTTATTGCAACGAAACTCGAGAAGAAATGCGCCAGGATCTGATATTTCGCCTGTTCAGAATAGTGGCATTGGAATTGGCACTGGCCGATATGATGCAAGTGATGAAGAAGATCTCTTTGGGGAAATGAATGAAAGAGATTTCGGGTCGAAAGGTATCACCGATGCGGACTTCAGCTTTTTTGATGACCCTGATTTCGATGGCATGGAGGGTGGCTCTCGTGTAGATGATGCAGATGAAGCCCTTGAAGCTTTACATCCTCAGAGCGAACCGGAGGCGGAAGCCATGGTTGACGCAGAGCACTCCCCCAACCAGCCACCGGGAATTTCAACTCATGTCGAAGCACTTGAGGTACACGCCTCTCCGATATACCTCGAAGCCCCACAGTTATCAGAAGAGCTCTTGGCCCCCGAAGAACCAGCTCATTCACCTACGGATCGCGCAGGCCAAACAATAAGCCCGCCTTTGAGCCCAGTAGAAGTGAAAAGGATTTTGTTCCCGGGGCCCGAGGCAGGCGATCATCAACAATCTACAGACAACCGGGGGCAAGGGCATTACCACCCAGTGGTATTCGAGAAGAAACTTGGTGATTGGGATCAGAAGTACGGAGCAGCTGGCAAATTCTGGTTCTCCAGTGGTGGCTCATTGGACGCGTTGAATCACACATCTGAAATTCCCACTATTGGCATTCCTCGCCGCGCCCGAAGCAGTGCCAACGCACTCGGCTCCTCCAAAGAACTTAACAAGACCAGCCTATCTCTGATTCCGTCAGAAAATGGACTACGATCAGCCTCGGTGAGCAGTGACAGCAGCGATGAGAGCATCGATATTATCTCGGAGCACGTCCCAACACCGGCAGCCATGCCCTCGATGCACTCTTTAAAGCGCAAACGAGCTTCTTCGGAATCTGATATCATGTCGGTTGCGTCCCAAGAGAAGTCATTGCCTGGCACAGAAGCAACTCCCGGATACGCAGCCGAGAATTCTACGTTCCTCGGTAACTTCTTGGCCAACTTTTCCGATTGGACGTTAACCGGTTATTTCTCTGCTCTTCCACCTCAACAACACCCTGTAATTATTCGCCGTGAAGGTCAACTTGAAATTGCCCAACTTCTGGTTGACCAAATCACGCAGTCCTCTCTTAAGCATCCACTTGATGGAAAAATTGGCCTTTTTGATCTCGAGAGCGAGCCCTTGTCACTGCAAGCCCCCGACGACACAACGCTCTTGAGTGAGGCCTCGAAAATGGACTTCAAGAGATACATATCACTGCAGGATGAATTTTTTGCGAATCAATTGCAACAGCATTCGCCGCCGCCCAAAGACACCCCAAAAAGCATTATTTCAAAGTTACCGGCGCCTCACATTCGTGTGCGTCGAGGGAAAGAATACCTAGAGGCTCTTCCCCCAGCTGTATCCTTTTGGGAGACGTTTGGTCTTGAGCCTGCTTACGGACCGAAGAACATCTCTGCTTATTGCATTCACCCACAAGCTGCGTCAAAAGCGGCAGATGTGTTTCTGAGACGGTTTGGTCTTCTTTACCAAAGTTGCAGTCTTGGGACTCATGCCAGAGGAGAAGATTCTGTGGCATTTGAAGAAGGACTGAAGCTATGGAAATCCGAAACATCTAGTTACGAATCTATGATGCAGGTTTTGAAGAGAATTTGCGAGCAGCTTGGTACGTGTTTTCTCTGACGGCCACATACTTTTACTAACGATCCTCAAGGCTCGGAGCTCTCACAATCCCCAGCGACTACTGATAACCATGTTGTCTATATCATCAACCCATTTACTCACGCTGCGGCACTAGCAGACATTTGTTCCGCCTTCTGGTACCTCTTCCAACAATTGGTAGCTGGTTCCGAACGAAGACAGACTCAAATTTCCAACGAGCTTGTTCTGCAGATAATCCCGCTGGAGTTTATCATGTCAAGTGAAACGATGGTTGCACCTCCCCAGACGGACTATTTAAATTTGGCCCTAGAAGTCTACAGTCGATGTCGCCCAAACGATGTGGATATGAGCCCCCTGCTCTGTGCGCCACCAATGCTTCTGGCCGACGCTCTTCCTAGAGCCATTAGTTTCCGACTTGCACCTGAAAGATCTTCGCCGCTTCAAGATGGACGAAGTCTTCATATTGCTTACTCCAAAAGTCTTGATCAACGCTGGATATCGGTGGCATGGTCTGATTTGCCAGGTTCGATACAAAGAACTATGTCATACTGCCTACGGTATCGTCAGTCGGGTGGTGCCAGACCGATTTCCGAGATAAGGAATGAAATCTGGGCTACGACGAAACATATTATGGATAAATTCCAAGCACGCTGGAAAGTTCAGCTTGCAACCACCGAGCCTATAGAAACCGATGAGGTTGAAGGTACTCTTCAAAAAATCCCGAAATTTTTAGTATTGAGGGCAAATTTGCTAAGACATTTACAGCCTGGTCTAGTCTAGCAGACCATCACAATAAGTTAAACCCCGGGTCCTTGGAATTGACCATTTTGGCAGTCAACACTATTCCCGACTTGATCCTTGAGCCACCAGTCCCACCTATCTCGATGGCAATGCTGAATATACTGTCTTCCTCTACCCCTGTCTCGACTCCTAATGCAAGTGCCAGCGTTGCATCCCCCGAACAATCAGGCAACGCAGCTACGCCAACCAGCGCCGGTCCGGCCGCTTGCACTGCTCCGACGCCAACGGATTTGTCACTTGAAACAGATTCAGAAGCCGTCCTTGCTGACATCTGCGACGATTCCTGGCTAGCCATCTTATCACACCGCCTCAACAGTTCTCCACACCTCACCGAATTCCGACCCGCCCTTTCCAGCGGGTACCTCCTCCGCCGCAGGGGAGCTGCTGATGGCGACGGTGTGTTTGCAATCACGGTCAATCTCATCTATTCCCCGCGTCCGCCCGCATCCTACGATAACGTCCTGAAAGATACCTTAAGTATGTATCGGGACCTGGGTTGTCTTGCCCGGGCCAAGGGCATATGCAGTGTACAAAACAACACACTGCCTTGGCATGTCGCCACGGCTCTCCGTGGACAAGAGCTTTTGAGTTATGTTTTTTGAGCGAATTTTTTTGTTACTTGGGGCGTTGTGGTTTCTTTGTCTACTTGGGATCTCATGTATGTTAAGGCTTCCTCAGTGGTGGGATGTTTTAGTACCTAGTTTGGGTAGATATGTATACCCTTGTTAATTGTGCATGGTTGTCAAAGTAGCGAGAATGTTAGAATCATACCTCTCACATCTCTTGACATCCGCCATTCGTGGCTGACGATTCTTCTCTATTTTCCAAGTCTCTACATTCAGAGTTTCAAATTATGGAACTTTTATTACTGTGATAATCTACAATATACCTCTTTCTTTCATCCATATCTGATGGGCCGACGGCACATCAAACGAGAGGGTAGCTGGAGGATATCATCACTTTTGTTGGCCATAAGTATGTACATCTTCAATATTCAGAGGATCAATGGGCTGGATTCAAATTACTCCATGACGAGAACTTGCGTATCTTGAAAGCGGCGCCGATGAACTTCTGTAGATCTAGCGGGATTTGAAATATTTCGACAAGAAGAGGAAGAACCCCGCACCTGAAGTTGTAACTAAATCTCGTTCTAGTGGGTTTGACGCAGCATCGAGATAGGTAGCGAGGTCGAAAAAGTGTAGCAAGAAAGGTCTGGATAAACGAGGAAGGGAAGTAGTGACACATCTCTGCCTGACACGAAAAGAAGAAACGGAAACCGCTACTATACCACGAGCACGAAATGTACTGAATTTTGAATCACAGGAAAGAAAAAAAAAGCGTCTTTAGAAAACTACCCTAGACACTCACTTCTTCTAGGGCCTTGGAAAGATGTAGGGGATAGGTCAATGTTTTTTTACATTTTACCAACTTCGAATATTTTCAAATTATCAATAGAAATATGCACCATCGAGTTCCAAAAAGGCAAAGAATGTACCCCGAATAAAGCCATCTAAAGTATACCCAAGAAAGAAAAGGACTCGGCAAAAGACCTCCAATTCCACACTAAAAAGACTCCCAGAAAGAAAGATGCACCGAAAGCAACATATGTGCTGACAGCTTTCAATCGCCAACAGTGGTTTAAAAAAAAAATCCGTGTTTCAACGTAAGAATCTCGTAACGCAGCTCGTCATTGTGGCAGATAATAATGCCAACAGAAAGGGTATCGTGTTGCAGAATATGTCGTGATCGTAGGTGATGATGTACATGATCGTATGCATGTGTATGCCTCGAAAAAGGAAGCCATCAATGTCGGTAAAACCGAGATCAAGAGAGCCCAAGGCCAAGGGTGCAGCGTTTGCTGCTGCTACCTTGCCTTGTCACCCATCGGCACTCTCCATGTCAACCTCCTTCTTCTTGGAGAACAGCGAGACGTTGTTTTTTACTGCCCAAATGGCATATACAGCAAAAGCAAAGAGGAGGAAGAGGATGATGATGATGATCGCGATGGTGATGTTGCGCTTAACCATCTTGAGTGGCGACGATCAGCAGATCGTGGCAGAGAGGTGAATGATTTGACGAGATGTGTAGAGAGCTTTGATCGTTGTTAAGCTGATGGCAGGGTAGGTAAAGCCCAAAATAAAGCGTGAAGGCTTGGGCAGGAGGCCGTATGCAGGCAGCAATGCGTTGGGGATTTGTATACACGGACGTCAACAGCCTCGTCGGGCTGGCTCTTTGCGCAACACACAACTCTCCTTTTACAAGGAGAATGAAACGGAAGATCGAAATGTGAGAAGGGAAAGTGAGAAATAAGGGTCAGCTGGAATGTGCATGGGTTTTAAACTGGACTTTTTTTCCCCCAGCCATGTGCTTTTAGAGGGGCTGGGAACTCAATGGACTAACCACGTACTCTGTAATGTGGCTAGGTGTTCGGAATACTCTGTGCATGGTATGCGCATTACGGGCAGGCTAGAAAAAGTTGACTAAAGCACTTCATTACAAGGTGCTCGATGGAAGATACCTAATACCTTGGAAGTACAAGTCCACGGGTGATGCTGAGGAGGCAAACCTGCCCAAGGCCACCAATACCATCACGTGGCCACGATCGTCAACATCTGGAAAAGCCTTCATTCGAGGACGAAGCAAACAGATCTGAAACCATTTCGAATTCAGTAATAGCGTATGTAATGACGGAAAAGTATCGTAATTAGTCTTGCTATGTAAAGATAGGATCGTTCTCTACATGAACCACCGCTTACATCCAAAGACTTAGCCTAGAATTTTCAATCCTCCCTTGGTTTTGGCTGGCTTTTTGATACCGTCCTGCTTCACCTTTCCACCAGCTCCACCGGCGCTGTCTCCCTTAGGACCCTTGCCCTTGCCTTGTTTCTTCCCATGCTTTCCATACTTGGGGTTTGAAGCGGGACGAACCTCGGTCATGGCTCGGCGCAGCAAGATTGGATGCGAACCAATGTACTTTCCTTGCATTTCTCGTCCCGCTTTGAAGTAGTCATCACTTCCACTGAAGCTGACAAACCCATATCCTTGGCTCTTTTGAGTTCGTTTCTCTCGGACCACACGCGCTTTCTGGACCGATGTGTAGCGAGAAAAGGCCTTCAGCAGAGACTCATCCGTCACTTCGCCTGCAAGGTTGCCCACAAAAAGGCGGAAATGTGCCGGGTCCCACTCCAATAAGGTCGAGTCGGTCCATGTCTCACCACCACCAGAACGAATGACAGTTTTTTGTGAATCGGACTGCGGGGCAGGGGTGCTGGTGCCGAAGGTTGGGGTTCCAGTTCCCGTGTTCACGCCTGAACCAGGTTGGTTTTTGGAGTCTTCGGTGGGTTTGTTGTAGGCGCTCTGCCACTGCGCAATTTGAGCTTCAGTCTCTGCATCAAAGCCGGGGGCGTTGCCATTCTGTGGGAACCCTGTGTTTGCCTGATTGGGCGTAGATCCGAACGGGTTCGCAATGTGTGGGACGGTCGGGCCGTATGTGTTTTCAGCGTATTGAGGTTGACCATAATAGGAAGGCACACTCTGATATGTTTGAGGTTGTTGATAGTGGTTGACATAGCTGTTGGTGGGGGTTGCATACCCTGCAGCAGAGACTGGCGGAGTTGAGACCGAGTGGATATTAGCGCGATGCGGTTGATTGGAGGCTACCGCGCGCGGCTGGAACGCTGTGAAGGCGCTGTAGCCTGTTTGTCGGGATCTACCGCCATGGCCTGCAGGATTTACGATGGGAGGCTGCGCGGCGTTGGCGGATGGAGGTGGGCGGGGCGGAAGTGACGAGGGAGTCTGTCTGAGACCTGGAGGAGGCGGAAGGGACATGATGAATGGGATATTCAAATAAGGAAGAGAGAGAGAGAGAGAGATGTGATGCAAGAGACAATAGTGCTAGATGCAAAGTAGCAATAGCAAACGTACCTTCAGGGCCTGACTGACGCCGCAGTCATTCGCCAGACGTCACGCTTGAGAGAGGCACCCGAAGGATGAGCACTTGTAAGAGGCGATTCGTTGCGCAGCTTGAAAATGGCCACAGTGAGAAGCGTGGAAGACTTTGAAAATGCGTGCCTTTAAACACTACACTGGACCGCAAAATTGTTATTGTTTTAATTAAAAGGGGAGGAGATATCAGAGATGACTTTTTTTCTGTCTCTGAATGCGCTGGCTAGGCTGTTGGCGATGGCTGTGTCACATGACTCGTGTGAGGTTTCCTGACTCAGTCATGACATAAGCAGAGAGACCTGCTGAGTCATTCCTACTGCCGGCCCCGGGGCTCAGTGACCCCCACTTTAGTCCCAAAAAGGCCTAGCTCGTGTGCAGCCGGGTATGAACGCATCGGCAAGTGATTTCTCCGTCGTCCACCAGAACAGTTCACCGATGCATGGACAAGGTGGGATGGGGGGTTGGGGTGGTTTCGATGGTACAAGAAGCTTCGGTTGGGTTTCTGCTATTTCATCATTGTCTACTCGATACCTACAATATGCATACTTGCTATGATATATACAAATTCTTCAGTCCAAGTACCCCTCTATGCCCCGCTATCATACGCAAGTAAAAGCTGCAATGCCAATCACAACTACACCTGTATATTATTAAAGGAAAGTCCATCGTATACAAAGAATGTTGCACATGGGGAATCGAAAACCGGGTCGGATATTGCTTTTCCAAATTCTAACAGAACCCGAGTGGGTTGGCACCGGACGACTCTGCTCCTGTACCCAATACTTGGCACTACACCGGAGACAGTAAGAACAACGCTTGTACATGGTACCCCCGCCGGCATGTCCCACCAACGATGACGGAAGAGTTGCTCCGTCAGCCGGTTGGGGCTACTTCTTCTTCTTCCCCTCCTCTCCTTCTTCATTTTCTTCCCTTCTCTAGATTCACAGTTCCCTTCCTCAATACCCTCATATCTCACATATAATCGTTATGGCTGACCAAGCTGTGTAAGTTCTCTACCTTGCCCCCACTTCACCAATTCCAGCATCCCAGCGGTTACATGTCCCTGCATATTGCAATGATACCAGGGCGCATCGATCCCCTATGCTGCTCAGGCATCATGCTATATGGAACACCAAATCCCTATAGACGCTCGTGCAAGTTATACCAATGGAGCTATGCTACTGCGAGTCTGATCACTTTTCGGAAGCTCGCGGATTTCTCCTTCTTTTGGTTCCCATCGTGATCTTTTTTAGCCAGTTGTTGAAGAGAGACATTGATCGCTGACTATAGCGCCCGTCTCGCCGGCATCAATGTCGGCGCTCCGGCGCATTTTTCCCCCAGTGCTGATTTCGGCCTCATCGGTCTGGCCGTCATGGGCCAGAACCTGATCCTGAACGTTGCTGATCACGGTTTCACCGTTTGCGCTTACAACCGTACAACTGCCAAGGTTGACCGTTTCTTGGAGAACGAGGCCAAGGGTAAGCTCCACAGAGAATAACAGGTTCTGGCCCTTTTGCAAAAATGCTCATTATGATAACAGGCAAGTCCATCGTTGGTGCTCACTCCATCCAGGAGTTCTGCGCCAAGCTCAAGCGCCCCCGTCGTATCATGCTCCTCGTTATGGCCGGCAAGCCTGTTGATGACTTCATCGAGTCCCTCCTGCCTTTCCTCGAGAAGGGTGATATCATCATTGACGGCGGTAACTCCCACTTCCCCGACAGCAACCGCCGCACTCAATACCTCACCTCCAAGGGCATCAGCTTCGTTGGCAGCGGTGTCTCCGGCGGTGAGGAGGGTGCCCGTTACGGACCTTCTCTCATGCCCGGCGGTAACGAGGAGGCCTGGCCCCACATTAAGGACATTTTCCAGAGCATCTCCGCCAAGAGCGACGGCGAGGCCTGCTGCGACTGGGTTGGTGACGAGGGTGCTGGTCACTACGTCAAGATGGTCCACAACGGCATTGAGTACGGTGACATGCAACTAATCTGCGAGGTAAGGCCACGTTCAAAGCTGAAAAAACATGCTCGGGCAACTGCTGAGATCATTTTAGGCCTACGATATCTTGAAGCGCGGTGTCGGTCTCTCCTCCAAGGAGATTGGTGATGTTTTCGCCAAGTGGAACACCGGTGTTCTCGACTCCTTCCTGATCGAGATCACCCGTGATATCCTCTACTACAACGACAACGATGGAACTCCCCTTGTTGATAAGATTCTCGACAAGGCTGGCCAGAAGGGTACCGGCAAGTGGACCGCCATCAACGCTCTGGATCTCGGCATGCCCGTTACCCTGATCGGTGAGGCTGTCTTCTCCCGCTGCCTCAGTGCTCTCAAGGACGAGCGTGGCCGCGCCAGCAGCATCCTGAGCGGTCCTACTCCCAAGTTCGAGGGCGACAAGCAGGCTTTCGTCGACGACCTTGAGCAGGCCCTTTACGCTTCCAAGATTATCTCCTACGCTCAGGGCTTCATGCTCATTCAGAACGTGAGTCTTTTTTTTTCAGGTTCACCGATAGTCAGTTTCTAACTCTGGTCCCCAAATTAGGCCGCCAAGGAGTACAAGTGGAAGCTGAACAAGCCTTCCATTGCCCTCATGTGGCGCGGTGGCTGCATCATCCGCTCCGTCTTCCTTAAGGACATTACCAATGCCTACCGCAACAACCCCGACCTTGAGAACCTGCTGTTCGACGACTTCTTCAACAAGGCCATTAACAATGCCCAGAGCGGCTGGCGTAACGTGATCAGCAAGACCGCTCTGTGGGGTATCCCCGCCCCGGCTTTCTCCACCGCTCTCAGCTTCTACGACGGATACCGTTCTAAGAACCTGCCCGCCAACCTGCTCCAGGCCCAGCGTGACTACTTCGGTGCCCACACTTTCCGCATCAAGCCCGAGAACGCCAGCGAGACCTTCCCCGAGGGCAAGGATATCCACGTTAACTGGACTGGCCGTGGTGGTGATGTGTCGGCCTCGACCTACATCGCATGAGCGTGTTAAGTTGAGGTTTCCTAGCAGGGTAAAAAATTTGGATGTTCAATGTATTTAGAAGTCTCCATGGAATGCCCATGATCCGTAACGAAGTCACTTGTTTTTTCCTTCAACACATCTCTTTGCGGTCTATGATTAAGTGAGCCCCTGCTCAGCGCGGGCCAATACAAGGAACAAGGTGCGCGTTCAAACCAACAAGCATGCTACTGGCTATGTCTCATGACAGTATTCGAGGCCGGTTCATGAGAATTATCACCGATTTCACCGACCTTCAACTTCAACTCCCATAGCATATGTTTGCATGTCATTCGTTGTCTACCGCAATCAAGAGCACTAAACTCGAGACCCTCACCTTTTCGAGCTTCGGGAAAATCAATTTTTGTCACTTGCTAAATTCAAGAGCGTGAGGATGTCTGTTTGCCCAAATTCTAAATTCGGGGCTAAGATCTGGCTTTGGGACTTGTAAGGGCTTGGGTTTTCGTTTCTTTCTCTCTTCCTCCCCCTGGTCTCCAAAGCTATCTCCATGAGTCATCTCTAGATAGTCCTGGACCCCTTCATTCTGACCTAGTCGGCCCCGCCACCTTCCACAGCGCGGTCCTGGGCGTGGAAGGCCCTGAAAGTGCCCCTACATACTCATTCTGGTTCAGATGTCGCTTCACTCGCGCTGTCCGTCCGCTGCTATGCTAGTCATGGTCTTGTCTTGCTAACATTTTTGTCTCACCCAGTAGTGAATACGAACAATGGGTTCAATTTTTTTTTTAATAAGTAATTCAACTCTAGCAAGTGAAAATCCACCAATATGATCAAATAGATCAAGAATCATATAGTCGTAAGAGAAAAAAAAAGCGTTGGTCCCCAAGTAACCATCAAGTCATATCAGTCATGCAGGGAATATGCTAAATGAGCAAAGCAACCCCAGAACTTCGGAAAATAAAGTGAAGTGAAAGTGAAAGTGAAGAAAGAAAATAGAAAATTAACAGAATCAAAAACGCCCAAAACAAAACAGAAAGATCCAATCTCTATGCAAATCGCAGTAATCAATCTGTGAGTGGAGTATTCAGTCTATTAGAATCAGCCATCCGCGCAAGTAGGAAATGGTGTAAAGGCAAAGCAAGAATCAAAAATTGAATCGAATGGGGGTCCAATCGCCTAAGCAATCGCCAAGGTATAAGACGAACGGTCGAGAGACAGGCAAGGGAAGTGCGAGGGGCCTAGGCGGTTAATATAAAACGAAAAACCAAAATAGAGCAGCGTTGGGATGCCCATGTATACTATTTTTCACGACCAAACATGGAAGCCCGGAAGCCCTGCTCCCCGTCTCCCACTGCCACGCCGGGATCCGGCAACCATTTCAGCCCCACCGTGGTTCCCGTTCCTACCTTCATCCAGGCTGCGCCGCGAGGCGCCGAAGTCGCTCATAGCAAAGAGCAGCGGCTCGTCGTCTTCGGGCGCTTGTGTGGACAGCCCCCGACCCATGCTTGGCCGCTGCGCAGAACCCCGACGAATCTCTAGCGTAGAGTTGCCGCTGTTACTTCCACTGGCATTGCCATCGCGGTCCTGCTCGCGTTCCGCCAAGTGAGGAGCGAGATTGGCACCCCGGGCAAGGCTGCTGGATGCTGAACTGAGAGAATGCCCGCCCGAGTAGCCGCGCCCGCGGGAGCTGGCGAACCGGGGCTGATAGACATGGGGGTTAGAGGAGGCTGAGGCACTGGTTGGTCCAGACATCTGCCCGCGAAGGGATGTACTGTCCCGATACGGACCTGTTGCAGAGCCGGATGGGCCGCTTGGGTGCTCGGCCAGTGATTGGGGGCTTTTCTGGGATTCATTCTGCCGTTGGGTGGCACCCAGGGTAGCGTGTGAAGGCTCATCGGCCCCCAGACTGAGGCTGCGCATGCCGAATGGGAAGATTTCGTCGTCTTCGCCTGTAACGATCGGCCGGCGCACGGCTGCGGAGCTCGATCGGCGGTAAGCTGGATTGAAGATCCGCGGCGAGGTTGGGATGTCAATAGCACCTGCGGCAGAGGAAGTTCCTCGCGAATTTTCTGTACCGGGACGTTCTTCTAGTGTCGAGTCATGCCGTGTGCGGGGAATTCTTGAACGATGGTCGATTTCAATCTCATCAGCAACGCTGTTTGAGCTCAAACGAGAGCGGATGGCAGGGGTATGGGGGGTGTGGGGAGTGTGGGGGGATACGGGTTTCCCCGGAGAAGAAGCTGTGGATATGGAGGTGCCCGCAACCATCGGTGGGACTCCGGACAGTTGTTTGCTCGAAGATAAGGAAGAGCGATGCATGTGCATAGACTGTGACATTGAGTCGGACAACGCGGCATTCGAATCTCGCATGCCGCGAAAGCGAGCCAGAGCTGCTGCGGTGGGGTTGGGCTGCCTAGGGCCAGGCTGAATAGATGCAGAGGTGGATGAATTCATTAAATCCTTCTTTGAGTCAAGCATCTTTAAGAATTCGGAGATATTCTCGTCATCTGCGTGGATGGACTCCGCACTCGTGCCTGTAGCTTCCGTGAGGAGCCCGGACCCGGGCTGTGCATTGGATGATGTTGCGCTCGCTCGGCCGCCGGAATTGTCGTCCTCCAATCTGTTTGCCCCTGCAGAAAGGCGTCCTCGTCGGTGGCTAAAGGAGCTGCTGTACCGGGAGATAGGAGCCGGTTTGGGGGATGCGGAATTAGACGATGATATAGCTTGTTCAGATGCGATAGTTATAGGTTTGCGCGCTGAAGCAGCAGAAGAAGGAGGCGGCATGATGCGTGAATCGGCAGATGTTCCTGTAGGGATGCGTGAAGTCATATTGCGGGGGGATACCCCCAGAGGAGAGTCTGCTAAAGCCGGGGAGGCAGAAAGAGGGGGAGCTTTGAAGGGTTGGAATGAAACGGAGGGACGGCGTGGTAAACTTGAAGCGCCACCTTCACTAGCAATCTGCGCAGCACGCCCAACGGGTACGACTTTCGCAGAAGGATGGAGTCTCTTAGGTGAGTCTGTCGGAGAAGGAGACCCTGCGCCCGAATCTCTCATTGCACGAAGTGCTGATATAGGACTTACACCTGTTGTTGGGCCAACCTGATGGAAGGTAGAGAGACTGCCGTATGCACGGGTGCAATCTGGATTCTCAACGGTCCTTCTCTCCACTGGCACGGATCCGACTTCAGGATTTGGGCGGTTGACATCATCTGAAGGCAACGATGGACGGAATATCTCATCGTCAGCACCCATGAACCGCGAGCTCAGTAACGCTTCCGAGTCATCAACGCGGAAATCACAGTTCGTCCGATACGTGACTTGAACTGAAAAGGGACCCGCGGGTGACTCCGTGACCCCAAAGCTGTAGGTGTCCACCACTTTTTCGCTTCCCTCACTCAACGGGGCTGTCAAATGATCCAGTGAGGGGTTATCACGAGCAACGCCCCCATCTACCACACGGTACTTGATCTGGAGAGCTGGACTCTGCCGTAACTTTTTGTTGCGTTTAGAGAATCTCCATGCAGGCAAGAACTTGGAGTAGGTGAATAAGGATCGGAAAAGCACAATGCTTTTCTTATACACAGTCGGCAAGATAGAGCCCAAATCTGCCGGAGGACTGCTTGACGACCCTCCCAACTCGATTCTCCACCGCTCCAAAATAATCTCGTCATTTTCCGATTGGTATGGCTTTGCACGGGCGCCTTGAAGTTCCGCGAGCGACTCACGCACATCCCACCGCTTCCCATTCTCATCAAGAACCACCAGACTTTGATTATTTGTGAGACCCTTTGTGTCTAAGTATGTTTCGATAACGAGTGGTGGTGGTCGATTGTCCGTTGCATCGCACGTTCTCCAAGGTCGCAGGGGTTCCCGAAGGACATCGGTATCATCTAATTCAACGTTGAACTGGGGTGAAACAAATAGAGTTAGCGCCTGCCCTCTTTCATATGGTTGGCCGTTCCAAAACGCATCGCAAATCCGAACATGAGATGGAAACGTACCCAGCGATTGACTCTAGGGGACTCGGAGCCCTTGTTGAAGGAGGGAGGCAGTGCAACTCGTGAATGTAGGATGATCAACGCGGCTTTTGTGTGGTAATTCTGTTGAAAGATGGGTCAGCCATCAACAAGGCGTCCTGATAAGCCATTGGAGGGGCGACCTGAATGACGATACCGATATTATTTGATTTAACCGGGTCAGGGCCTCCTTGCCCAGTGCCGCATTCCTCCCCTGCTCGGATGGATGATTTCCCGGCTCTATCCCTAACCCTCTGGCAGAATTAGACCCCATATCGACCGTTGGTGAGCTCGGGGAAGCTTCCTGCTCTCTGCGGTCGTCCCGAGCTGTCGGTCTGAGTGGAAAGTTAGGCGCCGGAGACGGCACCGCCGATGATCGGGGATGTTGGTGCATGGTGGGCGGCTAATTGCGAAGGCGTGGTTAGCGATCATCGACACGGATGCGAACAAGAGAAAAGAACGGTATTACCCTGATGAAGCGGGCCCAAGGAGTGCTGGATAGGAGTGTTATCACCGCCGGAATCTGTTATCAGGAACGCAATCGGGCAGCGATAGGTCCAGGACTGAATGCCATGCTAACAGAAGAGCAGAATGAGATCTTCTGGGGGCGTTCCTGAATCTGAGACGCTAAGAAATTCACGATAGGACAATGGACGGCCAGCATGTGGTCTGGGGCGACTCTCCGGCCTGGGACCTTCGGAGCAAGTCTAGAGCTTCTCCGCACGGGCAAATGCAGTTAGTTGAGATCGCCTTGTAAGGCGTAGAGAAGCGAGAGAGATTTGAGAAAGCCAGTTGAAAAAAAAAAAACAAAAGATCAAAAAGATGGATGCTGAGAAAGAGAGAGAAAGGGTGATGATAATGAAGATAGTTCGTGACGCACATCCGGTGACTCGACAGGTCTCGAGTTGTCCTAGTCCGCCTAGAACGCCACACAGATGATGCAAACACGGGGGTTTGCTGCCTCTTTCACACGATCTTCGTCTAATCTCTCCTGAAATATCTCTTGCCTTTTTTTTTTACTTAGAAACAGGCTGTTGCACAAGCCGGGTACTATGCACGGTCGCAAGGATCGCCATGCCCGGGCAAGGTACCCCCGATAAGCACCCGATCACGACTTACAAGGCGTGATATCAAAATGTCTCTATGGAGGAAAATCGCCTTAGAGGTATGGGTGATGGGTACATTTATATAGTACCTTGATATCTACTTTGAATGGAATTTCAATTTTGGCGTGTTACACGGTTATCTGATCCAACATCGTAACTTCATTCCAGTGATCATTAGATCGAGAAAGCCTGACTTCCTCCATTGTTGATGGGAGACATTCTACGTTGAACGAGCAAAGTGTATAATCCCGTAGAAAAAGGATGCCAAAGTCTGACCAAAATACACTAAGAGAGGATGAGACAGCGGATTATTACTTATGTGCAATTTTATAGATCCAGAACATCATACAACAATTACGGCTCAAACCGTCAACGCTCATCATGACCAATGATAGTAGATGTCAGCATTCGCTTATAGGCTTGTGTTAAGCACTCCAACGGGGTCACTCTTGACCTTCGAGTCCCGGTCACCCAAATGGGTCAGCGCATCAATGAGCTTTGTGAAAATAGGCTCAAGCCCAGCACCAAGAGCAAACGGATTGAGAATACTGCCAAACTCAGTACTCGTGGTGCAGCCCTTCTTGGTCGTGCCAGCAAAGGCATCCTGGACAAATTGGATGGCGTCGGGGATGGCAATGATTTCAGTGGTTGCGTGACCACCGCTGGAATAAGTGGTAAACTTGACATTTGCATCCCAACTGCACCAGGAATCTACCATAGTTTTGGCGTTGACATAAGGGATAATTTCATCATCTGTGGTGTGGTAAACAAATGTTGGAGCTGTCGGGGTCTCGTCCTTGTTGACACCCATGGTGTTCTGCTTCAACACTGACTGAACGATCGGGTCGAAAACGAAATCCGTGCCTAGAGTTTGGAAGCTAGTGGCGAAAATTGAGCGTTCAAAGAAGGTTGCGAGATCCGCAGTGAAGCATTGGGACGCGGCGCTGCCCAGTATCTTCTGACCATCTGCCGTTACGACCTTGTTGAGGAAAGGGGCTAGGTCGGCACCGTAGGCGCTTGGTCTTGAGAGACCAACAAAAGCTGGGGGAAGTAAGCCACTGAAGGCTGTGTTGTCAATCTCATACAATGTGCCTGTAAGGTTGGAGGGAGATCCACCCTGCACCCAGCCCTTGATGTTCAGCTCTGACGCGTATTTGGGCTGCAAGGAGGCTGCCCACCCGGTAGCAATGGCACCGCCCGAATATCCGACACCGACAACCATGGGGTTATCGGTGAGACCCAAGGCCTTGAAGCTCTTTACGGCACGGATACCATCCAACACACCCATACCTGCGAGACGACCAGGTCCAAAGGCAGCATCGGGTCCCTCGTAGTCGGGAGAAGCCACGGTATAACCAAGAGCAAGGTAGATCTCAATGATCAATAGCTCGACCGCAGCGATCAAACTGTCCTGTGACGCACCGAGCTGGTAGGAATAGCTAGGCTGACATTTCGTTGCAGAGCTATCATAAGCCGTGGCGAAGGAAACGAAACGATCGAGCTTAGTGTTCTTCGGCTTGAACACCGTGGTAGCTGTTGCAATGGCCGAGCCATTGATTGCAGTAGTACGGTAAAGTAACTGATAGGCTTCAACATCAACTGGAATGAGACCAAAAAACGCGGCAGTGATGTCGCGTTGGTTCAGGATTGTCCCAGGCACCATGGATGCGAAGCCAGCAGGCGGCTGGTAGAACGGATCATTGTCGGGGGGCTGAACTGTCCGGCGAGAATTTTGATGCGCAGGCAGTGCGGAGGCAATTGAAGTGAATGCCATGAGCCCACCCAGGGCAAGGCGCATCATGCGCACAAGGGACACTGCCATTTCCCTGCTCTGTATGGAAGAGTTAAGGCTGTGATGCTGGACGAGGAAAAGGCTGATCTTCAGATTATATACTTCGGGTGATCCGGACACAATACATACCTTTCAACGGTTCTTGCCAAGACGAATGTGATTGATCTATACGGCATACTACCGAGGCTAGTGAATAGGGTGACGATCATCACCCGGTCCTGATTAATGGGAGCACGAGTACTCCACAAGTTATTCAGGGCAACGTATGATCGGTCTGACGCCCTACAGATCCCCCCGTTGATATGCTATTTTTATATCTCTAGCCCACAGAAGTATGAACATATGAGATGAGCAGAATGATCTCGAATCTATATAATCAGCTCGACTCATCTTTTTCCTTTTTCGGTTTCACCATCTGAATGAAAATTCGGGCCCCGCAAAGCTTCAAACTCGTACAGGATCGGCATCAGCCCGGCACAAAGTTGTTTCCTTGCTCCGGTCTGGGATTCACAAAAGGGCATGGATGTACAACATAAGATCCGAGGCTGCTTGCTGAGACATTTAGTGGAGAAACCCACTTCTGCAATATGATATGTCCATGGATACGTCGGGTTCGGAACATCGCCTCGGAACAAGCACGTCCGTCCAAATTCCGCATCCGGACCCAACGGTTATAGTTATGCACAGGTGCTCTAACCTTGAAATTTCTTAGCGTCACCCCTCAATACGCGGACATCTTGCAAGAAGTAGGTTCTTGCATAAAATGCTGTCATTAGCTTCAAACTGGCGCTTCGCATGAAAAGGCTTGGGTTGCATTCTTCGGCTTCGTTTCTTTCCACATATCCGGCGTTGGGAGCTGGGCCGTGCATTGAGCCGAGTACGGTGTTAGAGGTCAATGACCCTTCTCTTTGTGACAAGGATGAGGCTTGGCCAGGAGAAAGATTTAGAATCGGATACAGGACCGATTGGGGGAAGAAAAAGATTGGAGCATGTTGTACATGATGTTCATGGTCGACGGATGTATACTTTAGTTTACCCCTAACAAATAGAATACTAGTTATATCTGAATGCCCGAGGCCCTTGATTGTTTTGATACAGATCAGATGGAGCAAGTAAGCCAAGAAGCTGAAAAAGCTGAAAAAGCCGAAAAAAGCCGAAAAAAGCCGAAAAAGCTGAAATCAAAAGCTTGAGTGCACCTAGCAGGGGTGGACACCCTCATTTTGTCCGATAGGTTCTTTTTTTCTAAGTTTGATCAGCATCCATTCTTTCGCATGATCTCTCCGTTCTCTCAATCTTTTTCGCCATCATGAATTCATTCAATCTTAGAACGGAGGATACCAGCATGGCCACTAAGAATCTTACTTCGACCACTTTCCCACCGACAACGGAGACCTCAAGATTCATTTGACCAATCGGAAAGTATGTATGAAGATAGCTCTAGGTGATATATGAATCATCAAGCTAAACACATCACAAATATTGGGCTGTGCTGCAACGGTAAAAAGGTTCCGTTCAATCGGGTCATCGTCAAATTAGGTTTTTGTTTTTGTTGAACTCACCAGAGAATTAGGACTAATGGCTTACAAGAACTTACAAGCATCTTCCAGATATCTTCAGTCTACGTTCTTCCATGCCTCCAGGCTGGAAATGAATGGTGTCTTGGGTGTCCAGCATGTTTCACCGTGGCCAAAACGCTAACAAGCATTTACAATATACGAGATATATCTTCTCCGTTGGGTCCATCACACCCTCTTGTTCATGATGGCCAGAGTATCGTCATCCTTACACTCAATCGATATGGCTGTTAAGAAATATCTCCCGGAATCATTGTGGTAAGAAATCATCCTATGTGAGCAGTGGAATCTCGTCGTGTCACTAATCCTAACTGTTCCCAGCAGTTGGCTTACCCTGTGGTGAAACCAAATTTCTAAATAAGCGTTCTGTTTGTGAATACCATTGTAGCAGTCCTGTAACGTATTTCTCTTTGTTCTAACACAGTGTATCTCGGATTTTACTACTTAAACCCCCTTTCCCCCCAGACTCTCATGAATTGGCATTTTAGCTTGCAACGGAATATTTAGCAGAACACAATTTTGTCATTATTAACCGCATCCATTTCACCAACCTACAAAGTGCCTGCACAGGTAAACCCCTTCATGACTCGCAAGTACCGTATTACGGATCCTCATGATGTTGGCGAAGGCTGTTGTTGGGTCCGTGTTATACTTCTACCGGAAGTGAGGAATGGCACCCACCCGGAGATCTATGCGGTATGTAGAGATGTAGCGGCTTGAGATTAACATTTTTTGGGTGGTTTCTAAACCAACCCAATCCCACTCTAAATGTTAGAAGAACATGAAAATAAGATTGGAGGGTGCACATGGTGGTGGTTGCTAAGAAGCGATTCGCAATTCCGTGCTGATGCACACTTAAGGAGCAGGGAGGACTAATTAGGGAACTCCACTGGCATTGGCTTTAAATTGCCATTATTAGAGCGTTGCTGGAACCTCGCCCTGGGTTGAACTTGGAAGATATATAGTAGTAGAAATTTTCTCCCGATCCCATCTCCTCTCTTCCTCCTTCTCTTTGAGTTATCCGCTTGGCTTATGTCACAGATTCAACCGTCTTAGTTACTAGTTATCAACCATCTTCACCACTACCACTATGGTCATTATGTCTACCCCAAAGTTGCCTGGCCAAATGCTCGGTGATCCAGTGCTGCTGGACAAAAGTTGACTAGCTCCTAGCTTGCAACCTCGGTGAGTATGTCAACTTGCCCCAGCTTGTTGTTGTAGGAGACCAGTCTAGTGGGAAATTCTCAATTCTAGAGGGCCTTGCTAAATTGCTGTTTCCCAGAGATAGTGGGCTGTGCACTCGGTTTGCAACTCGCATCCTCTTCCGGTAGATCAGGGCAGACACGAAGAGGACCATCAGTGCCTCGATCATTTCAATATACGATAAGATCCAGGAGCATCTGTCTCGTTTGGCGGCATGGGAAGGAGCCAACATGGAATCACTTGACTCTGAGACCTTCGCTGAAACAATGCGGGAAGAAAGTTTTCGCTCCTTAAGCAAATAACAACTGAACCTTATGTTATAACCAGCCACTATAGGTTCACCAGGTCATGGGTTTATCGGGCTCTGAAAACAACCAGTTCAAGCCCACCTTCACCCGGGACGTCTTCCGGTTGGAGATTTGTGGACCCGAAGAACAGAATTTGAGCATCATCGACGTTCCGGGTGTCTTCAAAAATACTACGGCTGGTCTCACTACCAAGCAAGATATGAAGATGGTTAGAGACATGGTGCTGGGTTATATGCCCAACCCTCGTTCCATCATGCTGACCGTAGTCCCTGCAAATATGGACATGGCGACGCAAGAAATACTTGAGATGGCCCGCGAATGCGACCCTCAGGGGAATCGTACACTGGGAGTGTTTACCAAACCCGATTTAGTAGACAAGAGTGCTGAGGATAAGATCATGGACTAAGTTGAGGGCAAGTCCCATTCCTTGGCGCTTGGCTGGGTTATTGTGCGCAATGCCGGCTAGCAGCAACAACTTGACCAGAGTTCCGATCGAGACTTGGTCGAGGCCAAATTTTTTCGGAATAATCACCCATGGAGCAACCTTGTGGGGGGGAAAAGGCTGGCATTCTCTACGAACAAGAGTTTGCAACCAAGCCAACAGATGATAGCATTCTCGTATGGATCGAGGTCCAGTATCGTGTTTCCCGCGGATTCGAAGTTGGAATGTTTCAGACCTCTCTGCTGTGTACCATCATGAACAGGCAATCTGGCAAATGTGCCGACTTGGCACACGGCTATCTCGGCGACGTGATTGATATTATGCATACTTTTCTGCTGAAAGTCCTTGAAGTCATCTGCTCCGATGAGCAAATTCGTGACAAGTTGGTGAGTGTCCTCACCGATGAGCTATCCAAGAGATACCGAGAAGCAATGGAGCAGGCCCAGCTAGTCCTTGATGTGGAGCGCATGGACGTAATGACGTCGAATGACCAATTTCATGACACCCTCGAGGAAACGCAAAAGAGAAGACGTGTTCGATCAATTCCATTTGGTCTAAGAGACATTCTAATATCCTTCTACCAGTCACCAGGATAGGTATGAGCCTACTGAAGACAAGTCCAGAGCTCCACTGAGTAATACTGAATGGACCGTACGGCATATCCACGACATTCTGGCAGCTTTTTAGGAGGTGGCATCCAAGCGGTTCGGGGATAACATCTGCATACAAGCTAACCGGCTACTGTCTGCTCACCGGACTCCGTAAGCCACTTGGACTTTTCTCACCCCAGTTTGTTACGAACCTGGCGGAAGATCAATTAGCGGAGATTGCAGGGGAGAATTCGGCGCTGAGTTGGCGACGTGCACCACTGGAGAAAGGGACTCAGGACCTAGAAACTGGCCGGAAGATCATAATGCAGATCTGGACTACTACTGAGGGCGCATCTCACGGGGCCATTTATACACGAGCAAACTGAATTTTCGCCCGAAAAATCCCAAATGAGATGAAATGTCATACGTCCAACATAGCATATACGGGGGCATCCTATCAGTTCCCCACGGGCATACCTTGGAATGACCCTCGCCTCTCGTCCGGGGGCATGGAGGGACATGCACGTCGTAATTGGTCAGTGTGATCTCACAGAGGAGGATAACACCCATGCAGACACATCATACATTTACATCGTATAAATGGCTTTATTTCCCCCATCCACCCAAGGGTGCCCTAAATATTTATAGTTTCTACTTCAAAAGCGGATAATGAGTTCTGGAGGTCTCTCAGTATATGGACTTTGGAATCTCTTTGTCATTGTGATTATTCTTTATTCCTTCGACTCAATCTAGTGACAATTTTGGAATAACTTATTTCAACTTGAGTATGATTTGTATGATTTGTGTAGCCTGAAATCTCTGTACATTCATTTTTGAGACAGGTTTTGGCCCATAGTAGTTTGACAAGTCCGAAAAGACCGGGAGAATCCGATGTAGACTACTTGGTATGTATACTGGATCATTTTTGACCGGAAGGCCACTGTGACGTACTGTGGGGCGGGCCCACGATCCACGGATGACATCGAGGACCGGACTGGATTTCTGGCAAGACCCTGAACATCTTGCTCTTTCTAACCACCTGGGTATCTTGGGATATACATCTTCTCATCAAGAACCCCTCCCTGTTCAAAAAAAAAAATCTACTTATCCGCCAAATTACCACTTTCGCCACACGCGCATACTCCGATCCCACAATCCATTTCGCGTCAAATCCACGACCAGAAAAATTGTGATACCGAGATCGCATCGACCTGTACCTATAGTGTCGGCAATTCTTATCCTTTCCCTTCGGACTAGAGTTCTCCTGTCACCCCAGCTCCCCCGTCGCGGTGCACCTCACTGTGGTGACGGCGACGCTCAGCTTGGGCTTGATAAGAGATTCAGCGCGTCGATCCACTCCGGGCACATGAGTAACAAGCTTTGGGAGTGTTTCATTCAAGATGATGTCGAGCGGTTCCAGCGGTGTCTGGCGAACGCGACGTTCGCGGGGCCACGAGCTGTAGGGGGCTCCGGAGGGACCTCCAGAGCTGCGACAAACCTCCCATCGAAGGCTGGAAGTCCCGGGTCCATGATTGCTTCATCTCCGAATACACCAAGAAGTAAGAAAATCCTAGAATCATCATCTGGAACCTCTGTGCCTGACCGGGCGGCTCTCCCGGGCGGGAGCGCGACTTTGTCGCGTGCCGACATTAATGCGCGTGATCACTACGGCCGTACACTGCTGCATCATGTCGCTTCGTCCTCGAAACCTACCGCCTTCAAGTTCGCACGCGCTTTGTTGAAAGTTCCGTTTGTCGATATATATGCGCAGGACTGGGAGAGTGGATGGACAGCTTTGCATCGTGCTCTTTACGCCGGGAACGCCACAATTGCCCTGGCGCTCATGGCGCGCGACTTGCAGGATATGACGGATTTCAGTAAAGGTGGTAATGCGAGCCATCCGAGTGGTGGCCTGATCAAGATCAAGGACCGTGAGGGTTGCAGTCCCTTTGACGTCTTCGGCGCGACTATCAGAGCCCGTGATATTAAGCATCTCTCTGAGGACTGGCCGAACTCAGATCTTGATGATGATATTTTGGGCAGCGATGCTGCTTCAAATGCTGCCTCAATCTTCGGCGATGATAGGGAAGATGGACCATACGCTCTCAGGAGTGTCATAAAAGGGGCCGTGGATATTTCTGCCGATGAAGTTTTCACACTGGGAAGCAACAAAAACCTCAACCTTGGTTTAGGAGATCAGGATGATAGACAGTTTCCCGAGCGCATCTCATTGCAGCGTCCCGAACATCTTTTGCATCGATTTTACCGTGAATACCAAGAAAACTTGGAACACCAAGGGATTGAGGATAGCGTCCCCGAGGGTAAATCGACCGAGCTGCCCATTTTGATCACAAACAAGCCAATGAAGTTTCGAGACATCATCATGTCCAAACTGCATACTGCCATAATCACAGATGACCCCGAGGCTAATCTGTTCATGTGTGGGTTTGGACCTGGAGGACGACTAGGAACAGGGGATGAGTCAACACGGTTCACCTTTGTTTGTATTGAAACGGGTGGACTAGAGGGAAAGAAAGTCGTATCGGCGGCTTTGGGTCAGGACCATAGCCTGGCAATCACCGAGCAGGGTGAGATTTTCAGCTGGGGAAGCAACAAGTTCGGACAACTTGGCTATGGTCTGCCCAGGACAAGCAACAAAAACGACGTTCCTATCCAGACGACTCCCCGCCAGATCTTCAACCCGTTCAAGAAAGAAACGATCGTAGGCGCAGCAGCGTCATCTATCCACTCTGTGGTCTTCAGTACGTCAGGTCTCTACACGTTTGGCAAGAACGAAGGTCAGCTTGGCTTGGTCGATTCCGATGCACGCTCGCTGGAGATACAAACAACACCGCGGCGCGTTGGAGCATCCCTTTTCAATTGTCCCATCAAGATGGTGTCCGCCATTGACCGTGCTACATCAGTGCTTCTGCAAAACCATGAAGTCTGGGTCTTCTCATCATATGGCTATTCAAAGCTCTCGTTCCCACTGGAGGTGAGCTCCAGATTCATCAGGGATAGCTTCATGGTAACCCGATACGACAAGACTGCGAATCGTGTCGTCAAGATTGTATGCGGAGGCAACACCATATGTGCATTATCCAGCTCTGGTGATGTGTTCACCGTTCAAGTCAATCAGTCCGATAGTTCATCGGCTTTGACGTCCACGACCAACCCTGCAAAGATTCGGAATTCGTTAGCCACACCTGTTCGAGCATGGTCCGTTAAGAAATCAGACATGGCAGTGAGTGACGTTGATGTTGGACAAGACGGTTCGATTATTATTTGTACAACATCTGGATCAGCGTGGAGAAAAGAGCGGCGGACAAAGAATAAGGAGGGAGCCTCGAAAGACTACAAATTTGCCCGCATACCTGGTCTCTCCCGGGCAGTGGCAGTGCGTAGCAATGCTTTTGGGGCCTACGCTGTCGCTCAACGTGACTGCGAAGTGACCAGAGAACAAATCCATGTCGAGCAAAGCAGCCTTTGGGAGGATATGTTGCCACTGTCTCCATTTTCAGTCCCAGGCATGGAAGAGTTGGACTCGATCCTCGAAGATGACGCTCAGGATATGCCTCTTGTACTGTCATCCGGAAAAAGTATCCAAAGAGCAATACTTTCGTCTTCGAACATGGAAAGCCAATTTCTTTCTGTGTGGACTGAGGGGACTGTTTGGCTGACCAGCTCCCTATCTGACTCGTGTATTCCTGTTCATGAGTTTCTCATATCTGGTCGTAGTCCCATGTTGGGAAAGGCATTGGCTGAATTTCGGCAGTCCCTTTCTTCGTCCATCCCAGATATTCTTGATATAGGATATGGGAAGGATGGACATCCTCAGATCCGCCTCCAAGGTGTTGATTTCTTGACCGTTATGAATGTGGTCTTTTTCCTTTACACGGATGGAATTCTTGATGTCTGGCGCCTGGCAAGGAGTTCGCCCGCAAACTCGGCCCGTTTCCGGCAGGTTCGCACTGAAGTTATGCGGGTTTCTATGCAACTAGGTCTGCCAGCGCTCGAGCGGGCAGCGCGGCTGATGGTCGAGCCGCAAAGAAGCCTAAAAACAGATATGGCTCATGCCATCAACCACTCATTCATGTTCGATAGCGCAGACGTGACTGTGCAGCTTAACGGCGATACAATCAAAGTGCACAGCCAAATTGTGTGTCAGAGATGTCCGTTCTTTGACACTCTTTTCCATGGTTATGCGGGGGGAAGATGGCTAGTCTCTCGCAAAATGGATCCAAACCAGAGTCTACATGTCGACTTGAAGCACATTGATCGCTCGACATTTGAATTTGTCCTGCGTTACCTTTACGCCGATACAGAAGAACGGCTCTTTGATGAAGTCCGGATCAAAGATCTTGATGATTTCATTGACTTGCTTCTGGATGTGATGTTTGTGGCAAATGAGCTAATGATCGACCGACTGTCTCAGGTGTGTCAGAAGATGCTTGGTCGATTCGTTACAACGCGCAACGTATGCTATTTGCTCAATTCTATTGCCCCTTGCTGTGTCACAGAGTTCAAGGATGCCGCTCTGGAATACATCTGTCTCAATCTCGAGGCGATGCTCGCCAATAGATATCTTGAAGATTTGGATCCTACTCTGCTTTGGGAGTTGGATCTGATCTGTCGCGAGAATCAGCTAGCATGCTGGCCCATCTCCCGTGGGCGAAATTCCGAGGAGTATGTCTTCGAGAAATACCCCGAAATCGTCAGCTCTGTGGAGGCAGATAAGCAACGAAGGATCGATGCCATGACTTTGCAGTCCCGTTTTGGTCGTCTCGAGCCTTGTGATGCGGGAGCCCGGTCAACACCCAACGAAAAGGCCATTCTATCTCCGTTTGTGCGCAAAGCGAAGACCAGTGTATCCGGAGGATCACCAAATGTTGGTAGTAGCCCAACTCTGAAGCCGAGGGATTCGGTTGGGGATCTAATGTTTCAAATGGACGATGAGACCTTCATGTCGCCGAGTGCGTCGAAAGGCAAGGGCGCCATGCGTGGGCTGAGATTCACAGAAGGTATACCTGAAGACCGATCATACCCTGGCTCCTCAGCTTTGGGGGCAAGTATCCCAGAGGCCGAGTCCTTCGGCGATCGTTTTGACTTGAAGGATCAAATGTCTTCCCCGCAAGACCCGCTACTGGCACAGTCCCCATCTGAATCCAGGGCAATAATCAGAAACCAAAAACAAGCTCTGGCCTCATCCTCTAAACCCTCTTCTGCGCCATGGACTTCGCCAATGATTTCGAGTTCCAAGAAGGATATCAAAGAAATCATGGGAGAAGCATTACAGTCTCGGGTATCAAACCTCACGCTGGGCATGGTAGATCGACGCGAAAGCAGTGGTAATTTTGTGCCCAAGATGTCCCAAAAAGAGCGAAAGAAGATCCAGCAACAAAAGATACAAGATCAGCTGGCTGCCCAGCAGAAGGCGAAGGATGTACCGCAGAACCCCTGGCAGAAACCAGCAGCTTCCTCTCCAACCTCGCTCCCTCAATTTGGCCCTCTGCCAGGTCAAATCGCCCCGGCTTCTGGGGCCGTTAAAGCTTCACCTCAAAGGCCCATGACTATGCGGCAGACTGTGGCCGGCACGCCACAGCCAAAGTCCGAAACAGTGGCTACACCGATGCAAACACAACGCCGCAGTGTGTCAGGCAATTTACAGCTCTCTTCGCATTCAAAATCTTCCACAATGGGACCTTCGACAGCGACATATAACAATCAACCAACATCGCCACAGCCAGCCATCCAGTCAATTCGTCACATCCCACGACCTGACCTAGCAGGGTCACGATCTCCATCCTCTGGCTCGTACTCTTTATCGGCTATTTTGCTCCAGCAACAGACCGAAAAGGAAGCAATCCGCGAAGCAGCCACAGCCAAGCATAAAATGCAAGAGATCCAGGCTGAGCAGGAGTTCCAGCAATGGTGGGATCAAGAAAGCAAGCGTGTACAAGGACTGGTAGATCCCGAGCCAAGTGAACCTCGCCCAGGAAAGGGCGGACGAGGGGGCAAGGTGCCTGGCGCTACCGGTGGCCCTCGCAAGCGTCGAGGCACCAAGAATACCGGTGATGGACCTGCTCCCCAAGATCATCGACGCGTATCGGCTCCAAGCTCCGGGCACACAACACTTAAAACGAATCAGAGTGGCCAGGCTTCAAGCCAGTCTCGAAAAGTCCCAAACAAAAATCGTGCTGGAGGTATTGCTGGGAATGCTAATGGTCGTCGTGGAGGCGGTAAGCAGTGCGGTAAGGACAAGCACGACGCATAACGCGATGAGAAGAAGGCATTCGTTCTTTCATTGGCTTTTCTTCTGTGACTTTTGTTTTTGGGATACTTCGCATTGTATGTTGTCAGCTTCCATTCAACTTCCACTGAGATAAGATTGCTTTTAAACCACTGCTTCAGCTGTTATCTCATTACGATCACCTACCACCGACTCATACCCTTTCCTCCTATCCACCATTCTCGATATTTTTTTTTTTAATTTAGAATCTTTTTGGGCGAACATGGCGCTTGATTGAAGCACCCATCACCTCAAAAAGACCGGTATAGAATTTTGGACTGCCTATTATTGATACACCACCTCGCGTGAACCTATGATCGTCTAGTCTCTTTCAAGATACAAACCTTTAGACCCCTTTTCATGAATTAAAAGTTGACTGGCAATCACCAGGGCTAACAATATTCGGCTGCCAGCCCTATGAACGGACTTCCCAGCGTACAGTCGCCGGCTGCATAGGACGTGAAAAGAGAGACTGAAAGAAAGTCAGCCACATGGTCTCGTCAACGCAAGCCAAAAAAAAAAAATTAAAATAAAAGAGGCTTACCGAGTAATCCGTGTCTGGCACCCCTTCCATTCCCTCAGGATTAAAAAACCTGAACTCCCTCACAAGCGTAGCGATAATAACCCCCAAATTAAGATACGCAAACTTCTCACCGATGCAACGATGTCTACCGGCCCCGAACGGCAAGTACGGGCTGCGCGTTCCCTTGGAGACAGCCCCATACCCATAATCTACCGTATCAGAAGAATCCTCGGCCTCAACCCGACTCTCCCAGCGATGCGGATCCCATCGCAATGGATCACGGAAGTGCCGCTCATCCCTTGCTGTAACACCAGGCGAAGAGAGCAACGTATGCGACGGCGGAATCACAAAATCAGTCCCAGGCACCGGCATCGGATTCTTCACTTTCCGCATAAGCGTGTGAATGGAAGAGTGGAGACGCAGCGTCTCCTTGATCACATTGCGGTGCAACGGAAGCTTATCCAAATCCTTGTACTGCAGCGGCGGGAGATCAGCGCCCAAGTTGTTGACCTGTTCGGCAAACAACTTCTCCGTCATCTCGGGCTGCGACGCGAGTCGAAGGAGAATCCAGCAGCTAATCGAGGCCGACGAATGCTGGCCCGCCATCAACAATGTGATCATCAAATGCGCGATTTCCTTGTCTGGAATGGGAGTCCCGTCACGATACACGCAACGCATCAGGTTCGAGATCATGTCGGTCCCTTTGGTTTTGTCCCTGCCGTTGTCGTTGGCTTCTTCGCCGGCTTCCCGTCGCGCTTGGATGATATCCACATAGATCTCGCGCATACGGCGGTGTGCTCTATCGCGCTTGCGGTTTTGGGGTAGCGGTGCCCAGGGGAGCATGAAGTTTATTGGGGTGAAGCCGAGGTCGAGGTCGTGAAAGAGTTTGGCGAACTCGGTGGTCAGTTTTGATCGTACTTCTTCGCCTTGGAGGGTGCGGGCTGCGGTAAAGGTGGTTATCTCGGCCATGGCGGGGACGAGGTCGATGGTACCGGATTGGCCTTTGAAGCTGGGGGATGATTTTATGTAGGAGCTTATTTCGTCGGCGATTAGGGGCACATAGGATTCTAGAGCTTCTTGGCTCAGGCCGTATTTGATGAACTGATTAAGGAAGGTTTAGCATTAGCTCTGGGAGTTCGAGGTATGACGACTGATAGGAAGGAGTTGTACCTTCTTTTGCTCCATAAGTTTGGAATTTGGACAGTCGTAGACAACGTCAGATCCGAAGACGGGGGTTGTAAGCTTGCCGTAGATTTCCTCGGCGTTGACGTCCTTCAGCTTTCCATTGAGAATGAACTCATTTCCTTCAACGCCGAGATATACGGTTGTTTTCTTGCCTAGCAGAATGAAGGTGAAGATATTGCCGTACTAGACATGTTCATTAGTAGGCGTCGTCTTGTTATTTGGAAAGTGTTAGGAGCTGCTATACACACTTTGGCTCGAGAAGCGAAGAAGAACTGGTACGGGTCCATGCCATAGGCGACTGTACTCCCAATGAAAGGAATCCAGTGAAAGACAACAGGTGGTTCTTTTCTGTTGTAGAAGACAAGCTGTTTGATCACATTGAGGACAATTGACGCCAGAACAAGTCCAGTAGTATAGTATGCGATGCACTTGATCTGCCCTGTTACCAATGGGACGAGATCCATGATAGCTTTAGATCCCACTGGGAAACTGAAGGTTGAAGAAATCTGGAATCGGAAGTATGAGGCCACACAGTTAGGGTTTTGTAAGACAAATCAGGAGGGAAGGATTGACGATTAATCATCAGGTCAGGCCATCCCCAGATGTCACACCAGCCGGAGCAAAAATGATCCCTGGGGCCACTTCAAGGCAGACGATTTGTTTTGGAGCTACTGAAAATAATAGGCATACTAGGCACAGTAAGTTGTGACCAGGTTTGTTGGTTACTACTCATATCAACATAATGGAGCAAAAAGTGAGTGCACGAAAGCCAAAATAAAACCCCGAATAAGAAATCATGTCCAACCTGATCGCTGAAATAGAAAAAATAAATAAATTTGCCCTGGAATGCAAACGCCGAACCATAAAGCTAACCGTCATAAACATAAAGGGGCGAAAATCATAAATTAGCCGTGGATGGCGACCTCTCGGCTCTCCCACATCCGGCGGATCAGCATGGCGCTGTCGTTCATCTGGATTCCTTCGTCATTGTCACCAATCAGGTCATGCGAAGCTTCGGCTGAAGTGGAGAAGATTCGATGAGATGGATCCTTGGACTTGGCGGTCTTTGCGGTATTGATGAGTTCGTCGTTTGTTGATGGATCTTCAGAGGCGGTGGGATTTTGATCACGCAATTGAGATTCAGATGCAGGGCTGGAGTTGAGGCGACTGGGCCGTTTCCCTTGCTGCAGAAGGGGTAGCGAAGGAGCTGATTTAACGGGCTTGCCGAGAGCTGATCCTTGCTCCGCTTGGTTGGCTCGGACAATATGACGAAGACGAGCGAAGCTCTGACCGGTGGGAGACTGGAAACGTCGCACGACCATCAGCTCTAGTGATGTCTTCTCGTACGCCTTGCGGATGTGACGGGTTTCGCTGTCGTGTCCTGCACTGCCAGCTCGACCGTCGCCGTTGAGCCCCCTGCTGGCATCATACGTGCTGTGGCTAGCGGCAATAAACGTTGGGTCAATGGCAGACGGTGGAACTGCTGCTGTCACTCCATGGTTATCAGGAGGAGAGTTATTGAGGGCGGCAGTACGTTGAAGCCAGAGCTTCTGTTGTGTGCGAGAAGGCAGGTCAACACCGCGCGGTCGTGCAGGAGACACCGTCAATTTGGCCACTGCACTACTCGGAGAGGGCGGTGTTTGTGGGTGGTAGTGAGGGAGGAACGACGAGGGAGTATTTGGGTCGGAATCGGTGCGAGAAGATGCCTGCATGCTATTCGTGTTGTTCAAGATGAATCTCGACACTCCACCTTCCATGGAGGATGAGGTGGCTTGGGGTTGAGAGCCTGGCATGCTTGCCATGCTGGTTGTAGAGAATGTGCGCCGAGCGTTGTCTTGGCCAGCAGCCAGGTTGAGAGACGCGCTACTACGCGATGCGGGATTGAGATTCTTGGCTTCTGGCTTCACCATGGCCGAGATAGAGGACATGGCAGGGGGCGCTTTGGATGAGTGTGTAGGAATTAGGAGGCGGGTTGCTATGTCACCCTGTTCGGTGTGCTGACTAGACTCTTCGACTTCTTCTTCTGAACCCTGCTGCTCAGCTTCCTCGGCCTCGGCCTCAGCTTCATCCTCGTCCAGTTCAAGGCGCTGTCGGACGAACTTGGTGGTGATCGATTCGGGTAGACTGGTTGCTCGAGGCATTTGAGGGTATGGTCGCTTGACAAAGGTGAGGTGGTCGACAAGAACGGTGCTATTGTCTGCGCTGGGGTTGGATGGTGCCACCGAGTTGCGCCTCGTACTTTCGGGTGACTGTGTGGTATCTTCCCACTCAGCTTCATCGGTCTCGTCATCCCCCAGCTCAAAGCCGACCGTCTTTTTCTTTACCGTGCCGGAGGGCGGCCGCTCAGTCACCAACGCTTTCTTCCCAACGGCTGACGGATTTCGGCGCAACAAAGGAGTGGAATAGTTTCTCTTCATGGAAGGATCAGTTGTGTGATCATCCGCAACGTTATCCCAGCGAACGTGTCCGCTTTCTTTTGGGCTCGCTATTGGAGTTGCGGGGGCCGACTTCTTCCGCTGATGATGCCGCCCAGCAGTCTCGGTAGCTAGTTGGATTCGTTGGAGTTTGTTAAAGTTTTTGCTGGTAGAAGGGTTGCGGTGATGATTGCGATGAGCACCAACAACATGGGCGCGGTGAGGTTTATGATGTAGAAGTGCTTTTTGCGTGTGAGAAAGCGATAGGTCATTAGGATTGGCGCTGCGCGTGACGACTGCATGGGAGGACACGGCACGGCGACCGAGACCCGGGCGCTTGACAGGGGAAGAGGTATTCGAGGCGTTAGAGGTAGGCATGGCGGTAAGCGAAAAGCTCCCAGAGGAGCCACTGGCGGATAATCAGATGTGCCCACGGAGCATAGAATGTGGGGATTGGCCGAGGCAAGTTGATCAAGAGGTCTCACGGCAGATTAGAGAGCATGCAGGCAAAAAGTAATGAAGACTCAATAGCTGGAAGCCGTGTTACACCGGTTTGAGCCACCACTAATAATGAATGAAAAATCAAAGGGAATGTGAAAAGAAGAAGAACAGGAGAGAAATCCGGGGAGGCAAATTAATGAAATGAAGAAAGAGGATGATCTCGCTGTCTTCGGCGATTAAGGAGCGGGTAACCTTGTTGTGGAATGCCTAAGGCAGACGACTCTACGCCAAAAAAAGGTTCTAAATGGAACATTCCAGGTATGAGGTCTAGCGTCTCACAGCTACATAGTAATAACATCCATGGTACAAAAAAATTGAGCACCCTTGAGAATGCCCCTAAAGAGTCCAGGAGGATGTTGAGATCCTGAAATTAGCTCTTAGCAGTAGAGGCAGCAGAGGCACTGTGCTTTCGTGTGTATTTAAGATCTCGTCATTGACCCACTTCAAGCTACACACAATCAATCTGCTAAAAAGTCTTCAGGTATCATCGGGCGAGAATTTAAAGGTCAAAAATTAAATCCATAGATTATGCCAAACGAAATGCAATTACGCTATAGCTCAATCAAGTTTTCCTCCACCGGTCGTGCTGGTTGCTGATAGGGCGGCTGCGAAGTCTCATGTGCATACGACCCCGGTTGTCCGGCGTTATTTGACGGATAGACGGATGGCGCAGCGTTGGGATGATGTTGAGGCTGGGCCTGTGATGAGTAATAGTAAGACTGAGAAGGGGCCGTTATCTGCTGATGAAGTGCTGGCGCAATAGACGGCACAGAATAGCCTGGCGATTGCACATGCTCGGCAGATGCGTGTTGCTCGGGCACAGGGGTAGGACCGCTGGGAGGCGCACTGGCCTGATACTGAGATTCCCGATGCATTATGGGCGACGGCTGGTATGGAGGTTCCGCGCCGGGTAGCTTGGCTGAGTCTTGGTCGTGTGGTCCTGCGTAATATGAAGCCGGGGCACTTGGTCCTGGGGTATTTGTATAGTTATTTGGAATGGCGTTACTAGGTGAAGGTGATCCAAGTGTCGGGTAGGTATTTCCTCCCCAAGCAGGACGGTGAGACTCATTTGTGGGGCCTCCTTGTTGAGGTTGTGATGGGTAGGCGGGATTCTGGAAAGCGCTGGGTGGACCTTGGAACCCATCGCCGTTCACCTGCTGCGGTGCATACATGGTGGTGGGTGGGCGAGAGCTGTCCATCTGAGTTCCATAATAGAAATTCTCAGCTCCACTCTGAACATCGGGGGTGTGAGCAGGAAACGATGGCTGAAGATTGGGATATTGCGCCGCCCCAGGAATAGCTCCAGGGCCAAGGTTGTGTTGGGAATAAGCCATGGTCAGACGCTCTTCCAGCATCCGATCATAGTAACGTACAACTGTAGAGAGCTTGGCATGGAGATCCAATAATGTATCTGATTCAATTAGCTTGCGGTTCTATACATGAAGATGGTAAGACTGCTAAACTTACCATGTTTACTCATGGTCTCTCCATAGCTCCGAGCCAGCTTTGGTCGAAGCGCACCGATACTCTCATATAGCTCTTGGATCTGCGGCTCTCTAAGAATTGTGCCCGGCGGCTGATGCTGAAGCCTATCAACAAGTGTAGAGAAGAGATGAATGTTCTCGGTTTCAACAGGGGTTAGTTCGTATGGGTTTTTGGGCAATGAAGCGGGCGTGCTAGTTGAATCGCGCAAGGCGGAAATTGAAGTGGGCACGTTCTTCAATGCGGCCGCATGGTTTTGCTTGTGTTGTTCCATGTCACGCAGGGATGCTTCAATCGCAGCCTTGAGGTCCGCATCTTCCTCGTCCATATTCTGTTCCAGCCCTGGGGCAGGTTTGGAAGGTTTTGGGGCGTTACCTGTCTGCGGTACAAACCCCGAAGAACTTCTACCCTCCGCTTCATCGAGACTCATTTGCAGCGCTCGACGCAAATCCTCATCGAATCCTGTATCTGCTTTGCCGGCACGAGGTTCCATCGTGTTAGATTTGCTGATTGAGTTGTTCTTGAACGCGGATCGATCCGAAATTCCCGGCGGCGCAAAAGACTTGGAGTTCAATTTAGCATAGCATCCATCATCTACTCTGACCGGCTGCAGAATTCCAAGGTGCGGTAAAGGAATGGTCTTGCTTGAACACTGTGCGTCGAATACGTTGCCGCAGTTGCGGCAGTGGTGTTTCCGATTCATAAAACTGAAGGCAGTCCTACATCGCATGCAGACTTCAGAGTCGATCCATTCTGGAGGCTGAGACGGATTCACAGATTAGCTTTTACCTCAGAGCGAAGGAGTTGAGGCACACTCACTGCGCTACTTTCCAACATACTGCCGCTCATTTCTGTCTTTGGTGGAAACTGGTACCCTTCGCTCTGCAATTTGCGATATGTCTCTCCCAAATACATCAAATCCATACGGCTCTGTGCAGCCATAGCCCAGTTCTGAATGAGTTCCAATATTTTCCCCCGTACCTCCGCATTGAGAGGAGCGCCTTCAGATTTCAGCAACGAGACAAGGTTGTCCATGAATTCCCGAGACGCGATCTCAGCCAAGAAATGTGTGCCTCCGTTCTTGACACACGTATCCGTTAACTAGAGTGGCGGGCTTATCAGCTCTTGTTCTGAGCCTATCATTAACCGGGGGCAGTTTTTCACCTTCAGTGTTGCCAACTGAATGTTGGGATTCCTATTCTCGAGTCGTCGTTTCAAAGACCTCATTCCATCCTTGGGCTGAACGCTCTTTGATCGAACCATGTCTGATATTTCCAGGTTGAGGGCAATGTCTTCCCTAAGAGTGAGTAAGCCATCTGATCATTCACTTCAGAAAATCCCGGTACGCAGCACCGGTACAGATATGCATGATAACAACGCGGCAATCAAAACTCACAGGGAGGAAGCTGTCGCCCGCTCGATTTGCTCATCGAGCGGCGAGGTTGAAGAGAACCAGCCTGCCATGGTGAAATCTAAACACCCGATGCGTGTATTAAATTAGTGGGACACAGATCACAGTAGCGTTTCAGGAGGCCAAGACACTAAAATGCAGTAAATTTGAAGATCAGACTGGTGTGTTAGAGGAGGAGCTTCCAGGCACCTCAGTAGTGACTAAGCCCCTGGCGTCATAGGCTGGGGGCGGTGAAGTGCTGTCATCTGATTACCCCAGAGGCACATCGTCCCGCATTGCGTCTCTGGATCTGTCCTCTTTACTTGAGTCGGTCTTTCGTTGTTTGCGTTTGTCATTTGAACTTGATCAACTCTTGGGCGAATTGGTTACGCCAGCGGTTTGGCTTTACATTCTTTGCTTCTCTGATCTTGGACACAACCATGCGCTAAGTCCGTTTGTCGCTGCCTGGATCTACCATGTCCTCCGATGCGGCGACTTTGCCATCTCCCCCCAAAATGCCACCGTGGAAGGACAGCCGGCGTCCTTACTCGGTGGGGGACGGCATGAACACCAGCGGACAACTCTGTAGGCCGGATTCTTATCCCAAGGGCAAGGCCTCTCTCATTCCACCGCGGCGACCTCGGTATCCCAATATCAAAGATCTGCAAGACCAGGCTGCTGCGTTAAATTTTAATGATACTACGCCGGTATGTTCCGCATTACTGCAAGTCTTGTGAGTTGTTTCTTCTAAAACGGATCACAGCTTAGTGTTCTCTTGCCAACGGCTGTCGATGCAATCGAAAAAGCCAGAAACCTCGCTGATGACGACTACAACGACAAAGCCTACATCCAATACCTTCGGGCTTCCGAAATCACTATAAATTTAATTCCCCATCATCCAGACTATCGAAATGTCAGCCAACGCCCTGATTGGTACAAGGAGTTCGCCGATCTAGTGAAGGCGGTGCGATCCAAACAAGGCACTATGGATGCGATCAAACGAGACATCATTGAGGACAATTTGGTTAGTGGTATGCAGCCAATCGGTATCTTTACATCTAGATCGCCAGAGCAGATTTCTGACACGCCACGGGGCCGTGAGAATCGAGACTCTGGAACAAGCTTAGCAAGAATGCCAAGTCCGACCGAGTATCAAAGGATGCCGGAGACAGAGGCACACTCAAAAAGATTTTCCAGTCCTCCGGATGACATGCTTGCGCAACGTTTTGCCAAACTCAAGGCGTCTCCGCCTTCCAACCAGCATGGGTTGGGAGCAAGTACTTCTGGACCGGGAAGCCCAGTTGTAGGATCTGCAGGGCAGACCCCACTTCATCCATTGAACATGCCTCTTGGGACATACAGCTCTCCACCGCCAAGACGACCATTGGGACCTCGCGGCATGGTAGCCTCATCTAATGTGCCGACCATTCCACCGAAGCTTCCGCTTAACACATCGTTACCACGTGCTCCAGACCCGGCTTATAGCCCCGTTTTCACCGTACCATCAAAGCCCGCGTCCAACCCACCGAGAAGGTCAACGGAGAGCATACACTCAAATAATCCAAGATACTCACAATTCAGCAACTCACCACGTGTCAGTCCAACCCGGGGAGGCTTTGATGAGAACCCCTATAGAGCTATGACGCCCAATGGCTTGAATCCGGCGCGAGAAACGCGAAGCAGCTCACCCGACTTGCCGTACAGCACAACTATAACTGCACGGAGCCTCCTTGAAAACCTGCGGAAATTCAATGTGCTCCTGATCGATGTTCGGGCCCGAGACCAGTATGATAATGGTCACGTTTATGCAAAATCCATCATATGCATAGAACCCGTGGTCTTAAAAGAGAACGTGTCAGCGGAAGAACTAGAGGAGCGACTCGTTGTTTCACCGGAGCATGAGCAGGCCTTGTTCGAGAAACGGAATGAGTATGACCTTGTTGTTTACTATGACCAAAGCGCCGATTCCGTCAGCTACCTCGCTGGCTCGCCGGTGGGGACATCAGCACCCCATCTCAGGGCTCTTCATGATACCCTTTACGAGTTCAATGCATACAAACCGTTGAAAGCCGGCCGGCCTCCGGCTCTGCTGCTTGGTGGATTGGATGCCTGGATCGATCTTTTAGGGCAACAATCCCTTGCGACATCCTCAACTGCTGCCGTCATGAGTTCTCTGCAGGCCAGAAAGCCGGTTCCTAAACCCGGTCGGCCCCTCGGAAGAGTGCCTACCATGGCTAGTGCGAATTCAAGCCTTGAAATTCGAAAGAGACGACTGCGCGAGTTCACTCCTTTGAATTCCAAGGAGCTGTCCGAGTGGATGGAGAAATCTAAAGTCGAGGAAATTGACACGAGCACCTATGCCGAGGAAGACTCACTAACGGAAGAACCCGAGGATACTGGGCCAGAGCCTTCAAGTGCATTTGTCCACACATATGAGGCTTTCTTGCGTCGGTTCCCTGAACCGCACGATCTTCAACAGTCCATGATGCACGCGGGTCCCCCTCCTTCTGCCGCTGCCCCGAATTATGCTGCGCACATGTCTGTGGCCCCCTCTCGGCCACCCCCTGCAGTGCCCCGCCGAAGCTACAGCGGCGTCTCTGATGGACGGCAAATCCAACCCCATTTACACCGACAGAATTCGGCAAACCGAACCGCCCTATACACTCCAAGCTCCCGGCTAGATCGCCTCAAAATTCCTCGGACTGGATTGACCAATTTCGGTGTGACGTGCTACATGAATTCCACTATCCAATGCCTCAGCGCAACAATTCCACTGAGCAGATTCTTCATCGACAACCGATTTCGCAGTTATGTACAAAAGAATTGGAAGGGATCCCAGGGCGTAATGCCGGGACTCTATGCGAACCTGACCCGGTCGCTGTGGAAGAACGACGTCGAGGTTATCATGCCGACCTCGTTCCGGAACTTCTGTGGACGCTTGAATCGTGAATGGGCCATCGACCGGCAGCAAGATGCCAAAGAGTTCTTCGATTTTGTGGTGGATTGCCTCCACGAGGACCTCAATATCAACTGGCAGCGAACACCGCTTCGACCGTTAACTTTTTCGGAGGAGATGCAACGAGAGCGAATGCCGATGACCAAAGTCTCCCAAATTGAATGGGACCGATATTGCCATCGAGAGGAGTCTTTTATCTCGTCACTATTCGCAGGACAACATGCCAGTCGACTCCGCTGCACGACTTGTCAACAAACATCCACTACCTACGAGGCATTCTACAGTATCAGCATTGAAATCCCACCGACAGGTGCCGGTGATATCTATCAATGTCTCCGTAGCTACTGCCAGGAGGAGATGCTGAGCGGCGACGAGGTTTGGAAGTGCCCACACTGTAAATGCAAGCGAATGGCAACCAAGCAGATCATCATCACACGGGCGCCCCAGATTCTCGTTGTCCACTTCAAGCGCTTTTCTGCATCCAAGACCCAAAGTGCACGGAAGGTCCACACCCCCATCGAATTTCCGCTTCACGGTTTGCGGATGGACGATTTTGTGATCTCTCACCCTCACCCCCCCCCTCCTGAGCCCGGTTCGCCGCCCACCACCGGCGCCACAGTCCCGCCATTTACTTACGATGCCTTTGCGGTACTGCGGCATCTCGGGTCTTCAATGGGCAGCGGACACTATATCTCACTGGTCCGCGATGCAGAGCGGCAGTGCTGGCGGAAATTCGATGACGACCGGACCACAGACTTCAATCCGCGGGACCTTCGATCTCGGGAGCGATTACAGAACGAGCAGGCGTACATTGTGTTTTATGAGCGAGTCCCGGCGAAATGAGCGTTTTGATTGCTAGCATAATGTCATGATCACGATTGGATACCGGATTTTTTTTGGGTGTAAATTATGATACACACATTATTATGGATATATCTTTTATAACTATCTCCGTACTTACTCCTCACTACCGTCTGTACTATACATCTCTTGGAATGTCCCTTCAAGCCAGAAGCGGATACCGACGGTGCTACCCGAGAATTGATACCCCGAGGCTACGGTAACGACACCAGTTGACTTCATATTCGACGTCTACTAACATACTAGTACCATGGAGATCCAAGGCTTGAAGACTTGAAAACGTATA